TAGCCTGTGTGTTATAAAGGTGAACTAATTTGTTTTCTTGTTGCTTTTTCTGTCGTACAGGTCCATGTATTGTTGTTCAGCAAGAAGAGTTGCGCAAATGTGCAACTTTGAGACGTTGCCCTGGTTTGAAAAAGAGAGCGTGTCTGTCACCACTGTGGTCCAGCGACAGACAACTGTTATGAACATTAAATCAGGGAACTGTCCTTTGTTTTGTCGAAATTGTTCCCGTAAGTCTTTGCACCTATTGATGTTCTGGAATGCCTTCTCTCCTGGTTTCATCTCCATGCTGTTCAGTTGCTGATTCATCGTCTGTTGCTTGGTAGAGTTGCTTCAAATGTTGCCATGCTAACTCCGCTGAATTTGCAAACTCTCTATATGATGTGATGTCTTGTTGCTTTGTAAGTGATAGTTTCCAAAAAATAGTGGTGAATGTCATCATCGATTGAAAGGTGAAACCACGATGTTGTTCTTGTGTACCGGTAGCTGGTAATTGTATTTCTCGAATGATGTATTCCCAAATCTGTGCTGCTTCCATTTTGAGTTCAAACTCGAACCTCCACAAAATAAATTCCATTCCGTTGAAAGGTCTTGAAGTACGGAACTTCAGGATGTTCTACATTTGTGTCTGATAGTTTCTCATGTCTCTTACTCCAAGTCCATCTTCATCTTGTTGCTGTTGTTGTTGAGCAGGTGTGGCGCGAGGCACAAACGCATAAGTGGTCCGTGACCGCTGCCGAGGCGGAGCATAGTAATATAGTGGCTGTTGTTGTAAGTATGATGTCCCATCGACACTCGTAGGTGCCGTACCCATATTCACCGATGTTGAAGCTTGTGGTGCTTTTGTATTTGTGGTGCTGATGCTATGAACGCTGACATGCACTAAAAAACTTGCTGTTGTATTGCAGGACGATGGCGATTTACCCATCTCCGTTAGCGGTGTTAAATATGAAGGCCGGGGAAGATCCTCCACCATCTCCTGAACCAGTTGCAAATGATGCTGTTAATACATGACTAGCATGGGTATACCGGAGCCAAGCGGTGGGTATGCAGAGGTCTGCTGTGTACTACTACCTCCATTTTGTAAGTGAGCTTTCCTGTTGTTTCCTGAGGCCATGTCTATCGTCTGCTGAAAATAAAGTTCTTGAGAAACTGTAAATGATGTGTAGGAATTTGTAGACATTCTTGCTCTCATACTGTGACAGGTCAAAAAAATCCCATATGATATCTTAGACTCTAGTCCTTAATTACATTGTTGCAGCAGAAGTTTTGTATGAATGCCAATACTAGTTAATAAGAAACAAGAATAATTAATGATAGTTACGAGTACTATATAGTATTGTCAGGTACCTATTCAATGATGTACTTATTTACGAACAGTTCTATTTATCAAGTTGACTTCAGATACGGTACTTTCATGTGTCACGCAAAGGGACACCTGCTATAGTAACGCACACTTATAATAATACTACGATGCTACTGTAATGCTTAAACTACTAAGTTGTATGAGTCATTTTTTTTACTCTAGCACCAGCAATCCAAGATCATTGCACACCCAATGGCATAATAGATTTGCACAAACGCGTGAAAAGGGTAATAGTACATGAACCATCCAACACGTGCATGTGAAAGCTAAAAAACTTGCTGAACCACACTCCCCCTCTTAGCCATAAAATCGACCCAAGCACCAGCCTCACTCACGAACTCAACCTTTCCCTTCCCAACCACACCACTCATACTCATCTCAACGAACTCAGCAGCAGATGACGCCAGTGGCTCCACACATATCTTCCTGACTGAAAAGAGTCAATCTACACCAAGAGCTGGACTACGGGGGAAAGCACGTATGGAACAAGTAATCGAAGTAGGGCAAAAGCAGGTTGGCCTGCCAGCGCAGCAAGTCGGCGGCTCGTCAATGCAGCTAGATAATGGCTTGCCAGCACTGCAGCAAGGCGGCTTGCCAGCGTCGCAACTCCGTGCGACAATAGTGCATGTGCGCACCACCCACTTCGCAGGTGCGTATTGGCGGTTGAGCACGCTGTGCAGCGTGTCAAACATTGTATATGTTATATTTGTGTAGGCTGTAGTGGGTTAGCCTATAAGGGGGTCACAGCGTTAGGGTTTCATATTTGTACTCACATTCCATTCTAGTTCACCATTCCAGTCTGTTATTTTTGACATGGTTTCAGAGCAGGTCCTTCGCTAGGACCGTCCTAAGGGCCCACCTACCTACCTACCTACCTACTTACTACCTACCTACTACCGGAGCGCGTTCTTAGCGCCTCCCCCGTAGCGCCCTCGAGCGCTTTATTATTAACTTTTTTTTTTTCGGCCCCGCTGGCCCCGTCGATCGAGCCCCGCCTAGAGGCCCCGCGGCCCCGTCGCATTTGACCTAGAGGCCCCTCACGGCCCCGTCGCGCCGCCCCTTAGCGCCTCTTACGACCCCCGCGATCCCCCCTAACGGCCCGCGCACCGCCCGCTACCGACCCACGCAGTCCGCACTTCACCCGCGCGGCCTGCGTGCTGCCCGCTGCCGGCCCGCGCACCGCTAGCGCCACTCGCGTACCGCACGCCCGTTGCCTGCAGCCGCTCGCGCACGCCCCGCAGCCGCCCGTCGCCTGCTCGCACACGCCCCGCAGCCGCCCGTCGCCTGCTCGCGCACGCCCCGCTGCCCGCAACTGCTCGTACGCCGCTGCCTCCGCTGCTGCTTGCGCACCGCTGCCTCCCGAGCGCCGCCGCTGCCTGTGCGCCGCCGCTGCCCGTGCGCCGTCGCTGCCCCTACGCTGCCGCTGCTCGTGCGCCGCCGCTGCCCGTGCACCGCCGTTCCCCGTGCGCCGCTGCCGCCCGTGCGCTTCTGCAGCCGCCGCCCGCGAGGCACGCGCTCTCACTGTTTTTTACTTGCTACCTACCGCGCACACTGCTGCCACTGCAGCTGCCACCAGTGCGCCGTTGCAGCTCCTGCTGCCACGCTACCTACTACTGCCGCTCGTGTGCCACTACGGACAGTTGACCCTCCGCACACCTTTCCAGCGGCCTGATTCCTACTACTACTGCTACTGCTACTGTCACTATGGCTAGTCCTCCCGTTCTAGCTTTCGATGCCGAGGGCCGTCCAGTGAAGTTCGAAACCTGGCTAGATGACCTGCACCTGTTCCTACAGCTCACTGCCAAGGAAGATATCTCACTGTACGACCACGCCCTAGGCCATGCCACTGCCCCTGACTCGTCTGCTGACAGCACTCTGCGTTCCCAGTGGCAGACCCGTGATGCGCACGCTCGCTTTGCTATTCGCAACTCCCTGCCGCTAGACGAGCGCGAGCACTTCGGCCAGTGCAAGACTGCTAAGGACCTCTACACCGCTGTAGTTGCCCGCTACTCCTCACCCGCCTCTGCCACGCTAGGCCGCCTCACTCTCCCCTACCTGTTCCCCGACCTAGCCTCCTTTCACACTGTCGCAGACCTCATCACCCACCTTAAGACTAGTGAGGCCCGCTTTCGCGCTGCTATGCCTGCCGAGTTTCTCACTAGCAACCCCCCCCCACTCTGGATCACTCTCTACCACATCGTCACCCGCCTCCCTGACTCTCTGCGCGCAGTCAGGGACCACTTCCTCCCTCGCTCCCCACTGAGCTCACTGTTGCCCTCCTCGAGAAGGAACTGCTTGCAGCTGAGGCGAGCATCGTCGCTGTAGGCACCTCTCGTGGCGACCCCTGCACCCCCGTTCCCCTTCCCCCCTCCTCCCCTCTGTCGCCTCTGCTGCTGCTGTCGACCTTCTTGGTGCTGAGAAGGTCGGGACCGCGTCTGCTTCGAGCGGGCGCCGCAGGAACAAAGGGGGCAGGGGTGGGGGTGGCGGCGGAGGAGGTGGGGGTGGAGGCGGTGGGAGTGGAGGCGCGGCTGGGGAGACTAGTGGCGGCAGTGGGGGAGGAGACAGCAGCGGTGGGAGTGGTGGTGGAGGCGGCAGCGGAGGCGGAGGTGGTCGTGGCGGCGGCAGGGGTGGAGGTGGCCGGGGCGGCGGCGGTGGGGGTGGTGGTCGTGGAGGCACTGGCGGAGGGCAGAGTCAGCAGCCCGCCCCGACGCTTCAGGCCGCCCGTGAGTGGTATGCGCAGCGTAGCGTTACCTGCACGTACGTCATTCGCACAGGTGACCGCAGCGGCCAGCAGTGTGGGAGGCCGCACCCCACGCAGCGCTGCTTCGCGCGCCTTAACGACGCGTGGCGCACTCAGTTTCCTGCTGCCACTGAGCTGCCGCGCTGGGCTGATCTGGAAAAGAGGGGTGTTGATATTTGGGCTTTAGACTTTGATGCTATTCTCACTGCCATGTATGCGATGTCTATTAGTGGAGAGGGTGCTCAGTACTTGCGTGTTCCGCCCGACCCGGGCATTCAGGCCAGTCCGGCTGCCGCTCTAGGTGCTAGCGCGTCTGCTCCCACAGGTCCTGGTGAGGCTGCAGCCCTAGGTGCTCGTGCGTCCGTGTCCCCTGGTACTGAGTCGACTGCAGCACTACACACCTTCACACTGGACTCAGGTGCTTCTCGCTCCTTCTTTCGTGACCGCACTGTCCTTGAGCCACTCGCTCGGCCAGTTGCTGTCTCCCTTGCTGACCCCTCTGGGGGTCCGGTCATTGCGACCTCCTCCACTGTCCTTCCTTGTCCGGCGGTCCCGTCCGGCACGCTGTCAGGTCTCTACCTCCCCTCGTTCTCTACGAACTTGGTGGCAGGTAGTGCGCTCCAGGACGGGGGTGTTCACCAGTTCACCCCCGCCTACGAGCGCGTGACACACTGCACGTGTGCTCGGACGGGTTGCCACCTGGCTACCTTCACTCGGGAGCCGGGGTCGGACCTGTACACACTGACCACTGAGTCTCCTCAGGTAGCTGCGTCTGCGTCTACGTCTGCGTCTGCGTCAGGTCAGCTGTCCGCCCCCTGCTCGTGTCGCTCTCTGGCGCATGAGACTGTCCTTTGGCACCACCGCCTTGGTCACCCGTCTGTGCAGCGCCTTCGGGCCATGCACAAACGGGACCTTGTTGCTGGTCTTCCCAGGGTGCTCCCTCCCCTTCCCGACTCGCCTGCTCCTCCCTGTATTCCCTGTGTCGAGGGACGGCAGCGCGCCGCTCCTCACTCCTCCTCCTTTCCCCCGACGACTGCTCCCTTGCAGACGCTCCACATGGACGTGTGGGGCCCAGCCCGCGTCCGTGGTCAGGGTCAGGAGAGGTACTTTCTGATTGTTGTTGACGACTTCTCACGCTACACCACGGTCTTCCCCTTGCGCGCCAAGGGTGACGTCCCTGATGTCTTGATCCCTTGGATCCGCAGATCTCGTCTCCAGCTCAGTGAGCGTTTCCACTCCGACTTCCCTGTCCTGCGTCTGCACTCTGACAGAGGTGGGGAGTTTTCCTCTGGCCTATTGGAGGCCTTCTGTCAGCAGGAGGGCATTGAGCAGTCGTACACGCTTCCGGCCTCTCCACAGCAGAATGGGGTTGCTGAGCGCCGCATTGGTCTGGTCATGGAGGTCGCTCGTACCTCCTTGAGCCATGCGGCTGCCCCCCATTTTCTGTGGCCGTTTGCAGTTCGATACGCTGCACATCAGCTCAACCTCTGGCCCCGTGTCTCCTTGCCCGAGACTTCTCCGACACTGCGTTGGACGGGAGAGGCTGGCGATGCGTCGCGTTTTCGGGTCTGGGGATCCCGAGCTTTTGTTCGCGACACGTCCGCGGACAAGCTCTCCCGTCGCGCTGTCCCCTGCGTCTTCCTTGGCTTTGTCCCGGACGCCCCTGGCTGGCAGTTCTACCACCCCACCTCGCGTCGTGTCCTGGCCTCTCAGGACGTCACTTTTGACGAGTCCGTCCCCTACTACCGCCTCTTCCCCTACCGCACTGCCCCGCTCCCCCCCCCGCCTCTCTTCCTCGCTCCAGGTGCTGAGGTACCAGACCCCCTCCCCCCTCAGGGTGCCGCTCCCTCAGGTGTGTCCCAGGTAGACCCGGGTGAGCCTGTCGAGGTAGCTGTTGACTCTCGTCCTGCGTCTGGGGGTGCTGAGCCTGGGGGTGCTGCGTCTGGGGGTGCTGAGTCTGGGGGTGCTGAGTCTGGGGGTGCTGAGCCTGGGAGTGCTGAGTCTGGGGGTGCGGAGCCTGGGGGTGCTGAGCCAGGAGGTGCGGAGCCTGGAGGTGCGGAGCCTGGAGGTGCTGAGCCTGGGGGTGCTGAGTCTGGGGGTGCGGAGTCTGGGGGTGCTGAGCCTGCGCGTGCTACACCTGGAGGAGCCCTCTCCTCCCAGCAGCTGCAGGAGAGGTACCTCGAGTACTGCCGCCTCCGGAGAGGTGCTGCTGGAGCTCGTCCCGGTACTTCCCCTCCTACCCAGGAGCTCCCCCCCATTCAGCAGATCCGCGAGTGGTACACACGCCGCTGCAGTCTTCGGAGTGGTGCTCCTGGTGCTGCGGACCCTGGGGGTGGCGCTGCTGCTGGTGCTGAGGACCCGGACGTTGGAGCTGCTGCTGGTGCTGCGGACCCGCCTGGTGGAGCTGCTGCTGGTGCTGAGGACTCGGACGTTGGAGCTGCTGCTGGAGCTGAGGACCCGGGCGGTGGCGCTGCTGCTGGTGCTGAGGACCCGGACGGTGGAGCTGCTGCTGGTGCTGAGGACTCGGACGGTGGAGCTGCTGCTGGAGCTGAGGACCCGAGCGGTGGCGCTACTGCTGCTGCTGAGGACCCGGGCGTTGGAGCTACTACTGGTGCTGAGGACCCGGCCGGTGGAGCTGCTGCTGGTGCTGTGGACCCGGACGCTGGAGCTCCTACTGGTACTGAGGACCCGGCCGCTGGAGTCTCCTCTGCTTCTGGAGACGCTGCGCGGCCGCGACCGTACTTCGTATCGCTCCTTCAGCAGGTTCTTGGGCAGGCTCCTCCTCCTTGTCCTCCTCCCTCCGTAGAGTGTCCCCCGCCTGTCCAGCCGCAGTCACAGTTACCGCCTACCTCGCCTCTCCCTGCTCCCTCTCCTTACACTGGTCCCACAGGAGGTCTTACAGAGCGTCGTGAGCCTGAGTCTCGTCCTGCGTCGCCTGTTCGTCCTGCTCGCACTGGTAGTCGTGTCCGTCGTGAGCGTCCTCCTCCTGTCCAGGGACTCACTACATGACTCTGCATCCCTCTACTGCTCCTCAGCGTGTCCCTCTACCGTCTCCTCCTGCGTCCTCTTTGCCTGACGTTCCGGACCCTGAGTCTGACCGGTATCGTGCTGAGCACCCTACTGTCACGCGTCTCCTTGCTACTGTTGTCACTGACCCTACCTTTGAGACCTCGGCTGCGTCTGCTCTGGTCGCTGAGTTGGTTGACTTTGCTGCTGCCTGTCGTCTAGACTACGCTGCTAGCCTTGTTGCTGAGTCTGTCTGTCCTCAGTCCGTCGGGGGTGAGTGTGCTCTTGGCACGGACGTCCTTGAGGACAGACAGGAGGAGTTCCAGTGTCTTGCTGCTGCTTGGCCCGTCTCGTGTCCTTGCTAGTTGCCCCTGAGGGAGACCCGGATGCACCAGACATCCCGACCCCGCGCACTTACGCTGAGGCGATGGCGGGTCCCTACTCCTCTCAGTGGCAGACAGCCATGGACGCCGAGATGGCTTCCTGGAAGTCCACACGCACCTACGTCGACGAGGTTCCCCCTCCTGGGGCGAACATCGTCAGTGGCATGTGGATTTTCAGGGTGAAGCGGCCGCCGGGTTCTCCTCCTGTCTTCAAGGCGCGTTACGTGGCTCGAGGCTTCAGCCAGCGAGAGGGAGTTGACTTCTTCCAGACCTTCTCCCCCACCCCGAAGATGACCACTCTTCGGGTGCTGCTGCACATAGCCGCTCACCGCGACTACGAGCTTCACTCACTTGACTTCAGCACTGCTTTCTTGCAGGGCAGCCTGCACGAGGAGATCTGGCTGCGCCGCCCACCTGGCTTCACTGGGTCGTTTCCTCCTGGTACCCAGTGGAGGCTTCAGCGGCCGGTCTACGGTCTCCGCCAGGCTCCGCGTGAGTGGCACGACACACTGAGGACTACAATTGCGGCTCTTGGGTTCGCGCCTTCTACAGCTGACCCGTCACTGTTCCTGCGCACCGACACTCGGCCGCCGTTCTACATCCTCGTGTACGTCGACGACTTGGTCTTTGCCACTGCTGACACTGCAGGACTCGCCTACGTGAAGTCGGAGCTGCAGAGGAGACACACGTGCACAGACCTGGGTGAGCTGACAAGCTATCTTGGCTTGCGGATCACCCGGGACAGAGCACGGCGCACCATCACCGTGACTCAGTCACACATGGTGCAGCAGGTTCTCCAGCGCTTCCGCTTCACGTACTCCTCGCCTTAGTCCACTCCTCTGCCTACCGGTCACTCGCTCTCAGCTCTGCCTTCGGATGAGTCTGTAGAGCCGAGTGGCCCGTATCCAGAGCTTGTGGGCTGCCTCATGTACCTGATGACCTGCACTCGACCTGACCTTGCATACCCTCTTAGCATCCTTGCACGCTATGTCGCTCCTGGCCGTCACAGGAAGGAGCACATGGATGCCGCTAAGAGGGTGTTGCGCTACTTGTGCAGTACGTCGGGCATGGGGCTTGTGCTTGGAGGGCGAGACCGAGTTGTTCTCACAGGGCACTCAGACGCTTCTTGGGCAGATGACCAGGCCACTCAGCGGTCGTCTCAGGGCTACACCTTCAGCCTTGGCTCTGGCTCAGTTTCTTGGCGCTCTACAACGCCTCTTCTTCTGTTCTCGGCTCCAGTTGCGAGGCTGAGATCTACGCTACAGCCATGGCTGCCCAGGAGCTACGCTGGCTGACCTACCTGCTGACCGACCTCGGAGAGCGGCCTCGTTCTCCTCCAGTACTGTACGTCGACAACAAGGCTGCCATTGCCTTGTGTGAGGAGCACAGACTGGAGCACAGAACGAAGCACATCGCCCTGCGGTACTTCCTTGCTCGAGAGCTGCAGCAGCGCGGTCAGCTTTGTATTCGCTACGTGGCCACTGAGGCCAACACTACTGATGTGTTCACCAAGGCGCTTCAGCCTTGTGACCATCAGCGCTTCTGCACTCTACTAGGCCTTGTGCCTACTGGACCTCACTTGCTTACCTCTTGACTTTGCTTGTACTGTGATCACTATATATATCTATACCTGCATGTTTACTCTTGCTAGGTTGTGATCACTGTATCTCTTGCTCTGTTATAAACCTGCATGTGAACTGGTCTTGTGACCACTAGCTTGTGCTCGGAATTTGTGTGGAATCCTTGAGATCCACCCTGAGCTTGTTGTTGCCTTGCTTTGCCTTGACTGGTCTTGTGACCCCTAGGTCTCCCCCACTTTGCCTATGGGGGTGTGTCAAACATTGTATATGTTATATTTGTGTAGGCTGTAGTGGGTTAGCCTATAAGGGGGTCACAGCGTTAGGGTTTCATATTTGTACTCACATTCCATTCTAGTTCACCATTCCAGTCTGTTATTTTTGACACAGCGCCCTGGACATTGCTCAAGTGCCAAGTTGCGGTCGGTTGCGCTTGATGTACCACGTCAACCTCGAGATACCAGCCAGAGATTGGCTTCGCCTAAACCACCAGGGCGACGTCCGCAAGCCCCCGCAGATCTTCATCAGCCATGTTATATGGTCAACCAGAGGTGGGCGCCAAGGTCCACAAGTCGGCGCCCCCCCAAGTTGGCGCCATGTGGACAAGCACCTTCCCCACTGCCGACTTTACCTCGTCGACGAACATCGCAGCCGGCTTCGTTGAAGTCTGCTCTGCTGTAGCTGACTTCTTACGAGTCGGCTCACCATCGAAGTCGGCTAACCGCCGACTTGATCCTTCGAGTCGGCGCCGACTTGAATTGTAGGAGCCCGCCATCTGATATATGTATTTGTCGATTTCCCAGGGTTGACACCACTGGCGAAGCATCAGAGCGGCATGCCAACCTGGAGCAGAGTGGCTTGCCAGTAGCAGAGCGCCTGCCAACGCTGCAGTAGGGTAGCCTGCCAGCGCTGCATATGTAGGTTTAATATCCTGTGCACATGTGCGCAACCTACAAAGTAGGTGTAAGTTGACGGTTGCACCGTCAAGCATATTGCGTAAGTGCCAAATAGAAAAAACAC